TCTCTCTCGCATTCTCACCGCGTTCTCTCTCTCTCACGCGCTCTCTCACGCGCTCTCTCACGCGCTCTCTCACGCGCTCTCTCACGCGCTCTCTCACGCGCTCTCTCACGCGCTCTCTCACGCACTCCTCATGTGCCATCTCTCACGGCTCTCACGCACGCGCTCTCTTGCGCTCGCTCACGCGTTCTCTAACGCGCTCTCTCACGCGCTCTCTCACGCGCACCCTCACGCGCTCTGTCATGCGCTCCCTCACGCGCTCTCTCACGCGCTCTCTCACGCGCTCTCTTACGCGCTCTCTCACACGCTCTCATATGCGCACACACGCTCTCCCTTGCGCTCCATCTCTTTCTTCTTCAAATGAAAGTGGAGATCAATCGACGCATTGGAGAGAAAAAAAAAATCAAAACAAAACAAAACAAAACAGGACGGAAATTTCAGAAGGGGGAAGGGAGGACGGAAGGACCAGGAACGCACCTGATAACCACGGTGCCTGATAAAACAATCCGCGCTCGCGTACCAACCCGCGCTTGCGCTCGTGCACCTGTCGCCGGACGGCGGAGAGGGAAGGAGAGGCGACGGCGAGGAGTAGGGAGAGGCGACCGCGGGGAGGAGCGAGAGGCAACGGCGGGGAGGAGGGAGAGGCGACCGGGGGGAGGAGGGAAAGGACGGGAGGGAGAGGGGCGACGGCGGGAGGAAGAGAGCGACGGCCGGGAAGGAGGAGATGCGACGGCGGGGAGGAGGAGAGGCGACGGCGGGGAGGAGGAGAGGCGACGGCGGGGAGGAGGGAGGCGACGGCGGGGAGGAGGGAGAGGCGACGGCGGAGGGAGATGCGACGGTGGGGAGGAGGATAGGCGACGGCGGGGAGAAGGGAGGCGACGGCGAGGAGGAGGGAGGCGACGGCCGGGAGGTAAGGGAGAGGAGATGGCGGGGTGGATGGGACGGAGTGATTGTGAGGTGGGTTGGAGAGGTGTTAGCGGGTAGTGAGGGAGAGGATACGGCTGGATGGAGCGAGAGCGACGGCTAGGTGGGAGAAGAACTGGCGAGAAGGGGTGAGGGGGAGGGGAGGAAAAGGAGTAGGAGCAGAGCAGGTTCTTGTCGAGAAGATTCAAGAACAAGAACCAAGAAAAGACAGCGCCGCATTCAAGCTGTGAAAGAGACGGATGCCAGCGCAGAACGAGAAAATTTGTGCCAGAAGAGCGAGAAAATTTAGGGCGTGTTACATTTTTCATTTTTTTTGTCCTGACGTCCAACCGTCCGGACGATTGTGTGATTACTGAACTCGTTAAATCTCGGCATTGAGTTCGTCAGGGTCTAAACGACGTCGCATTCTTCGTATTGCCTCCTTACGACATTGAATTGGTCGCAACACGACCGTACGACGTCGCAATTTTCGCACGTGTCCAGACAGCTGTCCGGACTTTCAGCGACTTCGAAAAATGTCGCACGCCCTTATGCCAGCACAGGAGGAGGGCATTCAGCGATGCCAAATGCCCAACCCGCTATAATAACCTGAAAGAACAATGGAGTTAAGCTGTTGGTGAAAACAATTCATGTTTATAAAAATCACAAAAAGAGCATACATGTCCACGTTGTTCCACAATTAATTGACAACTTTGAGGGAAGCAACATCTATAGAACATTTCGCTTCATAATAGGGAACTATTGAGCCTGACCTGTTTTAAGTAAAAATGAAGAACTTAATTAATTGCTTCTATAAGCAAAATATAATTATAATGTATGTACTCTATCTTAATGTTTCTAACATAATGTTTCTAATACAAGAGATACAACTCTACGCAACCCTTCCGACGTAAACGTCGAGTCTTGTTTCTACATTGTCAAAGACAGATATGTCATTATCTATCGACTTCTGTGGTACCGCATCAACTCCGCCGCTAACAGCGCGGAAGCCGGCGGGGTATTACCCTCGGAGCAGACTCAACTGATATTACATACTTTGAGGCTGCGCGTGGCAGCACCCCTAGTCCCAGCAGCTCCAGTACCGCCAGTATGAGCACCTCCATGACCAGTGGCTCAAGCACCTCCAGCGCCGACCCCAGGGTCAGCAGCAACACCAACTCCTGTAGGCTCAGCACCCTCAGCTCCAGCTCCAGTAGCACCACGGAGGCTGCGACCGTACCGAGAGTACCACTCACGTTGCTGCTGGGAAGAGAGAGCGCCCCCAAGCACAGCACCCCCAGGCTCAAGACCTCTAGACCCAGCACCCCCAGGCTCAGCACCTGCAGTCTCTGCACCCCCAGGCTCAGCACCCCCGGTCTGCGCACCCCCAGGCTCAGCACCCCTAGTCGCAGTACCTCCAGACCCAGCACCACGAGGCTCAGCACGCTCAGTACCTTGCGCAAGACCAGAGTCGTCAGACACCTGGACAGGCTCGATCGGGTCTACCTGGGAAACAACTGAGGGAGCAGGACCTTGGGGAGGCAAGGGGTCTACCAAGGCAGCACCTGGCGTGAGGAAGAGCGGCGGAGGGGGGAGCGGGGCAATGCAATAGGGGAAGAGACGATAGAAGGGGACTGACTCGTCAAACGTGACGTCCTGGGAGGACAGAACACGGCGCGAGGTGGGGTGGTAAAACTGCCAACCACGCGCGTCAGGGGGGAAGACGTAGGGAACAGCACGGGGGGACAGCTTGTCCGCAGACAAGTCGCGGACAAAAGCTCGAGATCCCTAGACACGAAACGCAGACGCATCGCCAACCTTCCCCGTCCACCGCAGAGCAGGGGAGGTCTCCGGCAAGGAGACACGCGGCTGAAGGTTGATCTAATGCGCCGCGTACTGAACCGCGAACAGCCACAGAAAATGGGGAGCAGCCGCATGGATCATGGACGTACGAGCGACGTCCATGACCATGCCAATGTGGCGCTCAGCAATCCCATTTTGCTATGGAGAGGCTGGAAGCGTGAACGTCTGGCGGGTGACCTGTGCACGACAGAAGGCTCGCAGAAGGTCAGAGGAAAACTCACCGCCTCTATCGGAGTGCAGACGCAGAACAGGAAAGTCCGAGCCGAAACTCTCTCTAAGCTGGAGACGAGCTGCAAGGATCCAGTCGATCAACACCTCAGTGACTTCACCCTTGCTGCGCAAGGGGAAGACCATGGTGTAACGCGAGTAGTCGTCAACCACCAACAGGAGGTAACGCTCGTGATCCTGTCCACGGACGCGGGGCGGGGCCCCACACGTCCATGTGAAGCGTCTCGAGTGGAGCCTCTGTCAGAGGAAACTCGGAGGAGCGAGGAGCGGCGTGCTGCCGTCCCTCGACGCAGGGAACGCAGGTGGGGGCAGGCCCTGGAGGAAGAGGAGGGAGGGACCGAGGGAGACAAGAGACAAGGAAACGAGAGGCCATGCCTCGGAGACGAGGCAGGGAGGGGTGACCAAGGCGGTGGTGCTAGAGGAGAGTCTCGTGAGACAGGAGACGACACGAACAGGGGGCAGACTCAGGACCAGACCTGGACGCTGCAGCAAACACCTGACCCGACGCAGCTACCTGAGCATACGCAGCAACCAGAGGAGACTCAGTAGTCAATGTGTACAAGCTCGACCCCGGCTGACGGGTAAACGTGGCCAAGTGTCGGCCCGTCCGAGCACACGTACAGTGGGTCACTCGCTGACTCGAAGGAATGAACTGGTCAACCCCTCCATCCTGTAGGTCGGCACCACTCACGAAGTTCGTAGAGAACGAGGGGAGGTAAAGACATGACAGTGTGCCAGAAGGGGCCGCCGGACACGGTAAGACAGTGGAGAAGTGGGCAATGATAGGACCCCCAGAGGGGTCTGCCAAGGAGACTGCAACCGGCTGACTAAGCGGCGTGAGTGTGGTGCGGTCTCGAAAGAAGGAGTAGGAAGCACCCGAGTGAAGGGTGAAGGTGTGCAAAACCTGAGCCGACGTGGTGCCTGAGAGAGCAGACACACTAGCACCTGGGGCAGCAGACTCACCAGTACCTGGAGCAGCAGACGCAATGGCTCCTAGAGCAGATGCCTCACCAGCACCTAGAGCAGCAGCCTCAATGCCCGGGTTAGGCGGAACACACAGGGAATAGTCACCCTCATCAATAGTAGGCAATGCATATATGGCAGTGAGGATAGCATCACAGTCAAGAGTATAGATATCCACCCTCTGCCCAAGCAGCTGCACCCAGTCGGGGAGCTCAGCCGCGTCGCCAAACTCCGTACGCGAGGCGTTGCTCAGACGGGCAAAATAACGGGACTCTGTGTGACCGAACGTCCCGCAAGGCTGACCAGTCCGAGCACCAGTGCGAATGACGTACGGACAGCGAGCAGTACCCCGTGACCCTCCACGCTGAGCGTACCACTCACGAAGCTGCTGGGGCGAAAGGACCGCGCGCGGACGACGCTGCAACTGCACCTGGCCACTACAAGCAGCTCCCGAACTACTCACTCTAGGACGACTCCCACCACGGCCACCCCGACAACCCCAAGTAGCGTACCACTCACGAAGCTGATGGGGCGTGAGGGACTCACGGGGACGTCGCTGGAGCTGCTTCTGGTCACCGTCAGGAGAAGCAGTAGCAGTAGTGGCAGCGCGGTCACCCCTACAACCCCAACTAGCGTACCACTCACGAAGCTGATGGGGGGTGAGGGACTCACGCGGACGGCGCTGGAACTGCATCTCTGGCCACGCCAGGAGCTAGTAGTAGTAGTAGTAGAAAGAGCAGTAGCAGCAAGAGCAGCAGTAACAGCAATAACAACGCTCACCATGGCAAGAAGGGCAGAGGTGGACGATAGCGGCAATGGCGGAGGCCGCTACCACCGCAGGGCGAGGGCTCCGGGGCTGCTGGTCCAGGGGCCAGGGGCGGCTGCTCCAGGGGCCAGGGGGGCCGAGGCGGGCAGGGGCAGCGGCGGCGGCGGCTGCTATTGTCGGTGGCGGCGGCCGCTGCTTTCGGGCGGTTGACACGGGCAGCGACGGCGGCGGCTGCTATTGTCGGCGGCGGCGGCTGCTGTTGTCGGCGGCGGCAGCTGCTGTTGTCGGCGGCTGACACGGCAGCGGGCGGCGGCGGCTGCTATTGTCGGCGGCGGCGGCTGCTGCTGTCGGCGGCGGCGGCTGCTTGCTGTCGGCGGCTAACACGGTTAGCCGCGGCGGCGGCTGCTGTTGTCGGCGGCGGCGGCGGCTGCTGTTTGTCGCCGGCAGCGGCTGCTGCTGTCGGCGGCTGACACGGCAGCGATGGCGGCGGCCTGGTGTTGTCGGTGGCGGCGGCGGCGGCCCTGCAGGGCCTTGAAGGGGCCACGATGTCAGAATGAGAAACAGGAATGTATGTGACTAGCAGGAAACAACAGTACAAATATGAAACCCTAAACTGGTGTACCCCCTATGGTTGTGACCCACTACAGCCTAGAACCACACAAACATATAATGTTTGACACACCCCCATAGGCAAAGTGGGGGAGACCTAGCGGTCACAAGACCAGTTCACATGCAGTTTTATAACAGAGCAAGAGGTACAATGATCACAACCTAGCAAGGGCAAACATGCAGGTATATATATAATGATCCCAGTACAGGCAAGGTCGAGAAGTAAGCAAGTGAGGAACAGTCGGCACAAGGCCTAGAAGAGTGCAAAAACGCTGATGGTCAACAGGCGGAAGCGCCTTGGTGAACACATCAGCAGTGTTGGCCTCAGTGGCCACGTAACGCAGAAGAAGCTGACCACGATGCTGTAGCTCTCGAGCTAGAAAGTAACGCAGAGCAATGTGCTTCGTCCTGTGCTCCAGTCTGTCCTCAAGAACGTCCGTGCCTAGGGGTCACAAGACCAGTCAAGGCAAAGCAAGGCAACCAAACTCCTCCTGTCTGTCCTCAAGAACGTCCGTGCCAAGAGCAAACTCACCCCCGACGGACGGAGGACAGACAGACTCAGACTTCAGCAACAAGACTCGCAGCGTAGTCTAGACGACACGCAGCTGCAAAGTCGACAAGCCCAGTGACTAAGGCAGACGCAGCAGCGGACTCAAAGGAAGGGTCAGTGACAACTGTAGCCAGGAGACGTGTGACAGTAGGACTGGTAGCGCGAAGGGTGTCTGACTCCGGGTCAGCAAGAGCAGGAAGAGAGGACGCAGGGAGGCGACGGGAGAGAGCGACACGCTGTGGAGCAGTGGACTGACGAAGCGCCATCTGGTGAGTGCCTGGGACAGCAGGAGGACGCTGACGCTGGACACGACTACCAGTGGTAGCAGCACGAACAGGCGACGCTCGACGAGACCCAGGTGACACAGGACGTGACGCAGGCTCACGTCTCTCAGCAAGACCTCCAGTCGGACCAGTGTAAGGAGTAGGCACAGGGAGTGGGGAGGCAGGCGGTAACTGTGGCTGTGACTGGACAGACGGCGGACACTCTAAGGCGAGAGGAGGACAAGGAGGAGGAGTCTGACCAAGAACCTGCTGAAGGAGCAGAACGAAGTACGGCCCGTGGCCGGTGCAGCAACTCCCGAACCAGCAGAGACACCAGCGGCAGGGTCCTCAGCACCAGCAGAAGCTCCACCCTCCGGGTCCCCCACTCCAGCGGCAGCAGCAGCACCTCCAGCAGCACCAGCAGCACCTCCAGCAGCAGCAGCACCTCCAGCAGCAGGGTCCGCAGCACCCACAGCAGCTCCAACGCCCGGGTCCTCTGTACGAGCAGCACCTCTAGCAGCACCGCCAGCAGCAGCAGCACCTCCAGCACCAGGGTCCGCAGCACCCGCAGCAGCGTCAACTCCGGGGACCCCAGCACCAGCAGCTCCACTCCGGAGACTGATGTGCCGAGCGTACCACTCTCGAAGCTGTGGGGAAGAGGGCGGCTCCCGCCGTGGTGGGGAAACACGAGTACCAACTCCAGTAGCACCACGAGCCCGAGACGTACCCTGCCGGAGGCTGCAGTACCGTGAGTACCACTCACGTAGCTGCTGCGAAGAGGGAGGTCCTCCAGGCGTCTCACAGTCAACTGCAACACCACCAGGCTCAGCACCCCCAGACTCAGCAACGCCTGGCTCAGTACCCCCAGACCCAGCACCCCCAGGCTCAGCACCCCCAGTCTCAGCACCCCCAGACTCAGCACCCCCAGACTCAGCACCCCCAGGCTCCACCCGCTCAGGCTCCGCACGCTCAGGCTCCGCACGCTCAGGCTCAGCACCTCTAGCAGGACGCGAGTCGACAACTACCTCGGCAGGCTCAACCGGGTCTACCTGAGAGACACCTGAGGGAGCGGCACCCTGAGGGGGAAGGGGGTCTACCACTGCAGCACCTGGCGTGAGGAAGAGAGGCGGGGGAGGGAGCGGGGCAGTGCGGTATGGGAAGAGGCGGTAGAAGGGCACGGACTCGTCAAAAGTAACGTCCTGAGAGGGGAAGACGCGGTGCGAGGCGGGGGTGGTAAAACTGCCAGCCAGACGCATCCGGGACAAAAGCCAAGAAAGACACAGGGAGCAGTGCGGGAGGAGAGCTTGTCCGCAGACGTGTTGCGAACAAAAGCTCGGGATCCCCAGACACGGAAGCGTGACGCATCGCCAACCTCCCCCGTCCACAGCAGTGTGGGCGAGGTCTCCGGAGCGGAGACACGGGGCCAGAGGTTGAGCTGATGCGCAGCGTACCGGACCGCAAACGGCCACAGAAAGTGGGGGGCAGCCGCGTGGACTAAGGAGGTACGAGCGACCTCCATGACCAAGCCAATGCGGCGCTCAGCAACCCCATTATGCTGTGGAGAGGCCGGAAGCATGAACGACTGGCGAATGCCGTGCTCGGCACAGTAGGCTGCCAAGAGGTCGGAGGAGAACTCGCCACCTCTGTCAGAGTGCAAGCGCAGGACAGGAAACTCCGAGCGAAAACGCTCTCGCAGCTGAAGACGTGCTCTGCTGATCCAAGGGATCAGGACATCAGGGACTTCACCCTTGGTGCGCAAGGGGAAGACCGTGGTGTAGCGCGAGTAGTCGTCAACGACGATCAAGAAGTACCTCTCCTGGCCCTGACCACGGACGCGGGCTGGGCCCCACACGTCCATGTGGAGCGTCTGCAAAGGAGCTGTCGTCGGGGGGGAACGAGGACGAGTGAGGGGCAGCGCGCTGCCGCCCCTCGACATAGGGAAGACAAGCAGGAGCAAGGGAGGGTGGGAGGGGAGGGAGTACCCGAGGAAGACCAGAGACAAGGTACCGGGAGTGCATGCCCCGAAGGCGCTGCACTGACGGGTGACCAAGTTGGTGGTGCCAGAGGACAGTCTTGTGCGCTAGAGAGCGACACGAGCAGGGGGCAGACAGCTGACCTGACGCAGACGCAGACGCAGACGCCGCTACCTGAGGGGACTCAGTGGTCAGTGTGTACAGGTCCGACCCCGGCTGCCGAGTGAAGGTAGCCAGGTGACGGCCCGTCCGAGCACACGTGCAGTGTGTCACGCGGTCGTAGGCAGGGGTGAACTGGTGAACACCCCCATCCTGAAGCGCACAACCTGCCACCAAGTTTGTAGAGAACGAGGGGAGGTGGAGACCTGACAGTGTGCCCGACGGGACAGCAGGACAAGGAAGGACAGTGGAGGAGGTCGCAATGACCGGACCCCCAGAGGGGTCAGCGAGCGAGACAGCGACTGGTCGAGCAAGGGGCTCAAGAGCAGTGCGGTCACGAAAGAAACAGCGCGAAGTGCCTGAGTCTAGAGTGAAGGTGTGCAGTGCCTCAGTGGACTCAGTAGTACCTGGGGTGGCGGACACACAAGCACCTAGAGCAGTAGCCGCACTAGCACCTGGGGCAGCAGACACGCAAGCACCTAGGGCGGCAGCCTCACTCGTGCGGATGCCTGGGTCAGGCGGAACACACAGGTACTGGTCCTCCTCTCCACTTATAGTCATGCATACATGGCTTTGAGAATAACATCAAAATCAAGAGCATAGATATCGATATCCTTCTTGAGGAGATCAGCCCACTGAGGGAGCTCAGGAGCGTCAGGAAACTGAGCACGCCACGCGTCATCTAGGCGAGAGAAGCAGCGCTGCGCAGTGTGCGCCCTCCCGCACGTCTGTCCCTTGCGGCGACCAGTGCGGATGACGTACGTGCAGCTAAGGCTACCCCCCCCACCCCCGTGCTGTAAGTACCACTCACGAAGCTCCTGGGAGGACTGAGGGTGCTGCGCGTTCTGGCCAGTGCCAGAGCCTCCACGACCACCACCGCCGCCTCCACCACGACCACCACCGCCCCTGCCGCCTCCACGTCCACTGCCGCCACCACCACCGCCCCCACCCCGGCCACCGCCGCCGCCGCTGCCTCCACCACTCCCACCGCTGCCACTAGCCCCTCCAGCCCCGCCACCACCCCCACCGCCGCCACCACCCCCACCACCGCCTCCCCCGCCGTCACCCCCACCGCCCTTGCCTCCCCTGCCCTTACCGCTGCGACGCCCGCTGGGAGCGGACGCAGAGCCGACCTGCTCAGCACCAAGGAGGTCGACAGCAGCAGCAGAGGCGACAGAGGGGAGCAGGGGGGAGGGGGAACACCCCTCGAAGAAAGGGGTGCGGGGGTCGCCACGAGAGGCACCTACAGCTACAATACTCTTCTCAGCTGCAAGTAGTTCCTTCTCTAGGGCGGTAATGGTGAGCTCAGTGGGGCAGCGAGCTAGGAAGTGGTCCCTGACTGTACGCAGAGTGTCAGGGAGGCGGGTGACTAGGTGGTAGAGAGTGAGCCAGAGCGGGGGAGGGTTGGAGGCAAGAAACTCAGCGGGCATGGCTGCACGGAAGCGGGCATCACTAGTGCGGAGGTGAGTGATGAGGTCAGCGACTGTCTGGAAGGCGGACAGGTCGGGGAACAGGTAGGGAAGCGAGAGGCGGCCTAGTGCAGCTGAGGCCGGGGAGGAGTAGCGCGCAGCTACAGCAGTGTACAGGGCCTGCGCAGTCTGATGCTGGCCAAAGTGCTCGCGCTCGTCGACTGGCAGGGAGTTGCGAATAGCAAAGCGGGCGTGGGCATCGCGAGTCTGCCACTGTGAGCGAGCAGTAGCAGTAGCAGTAGTAGCAGGAGGAGGGACTGTGCCTAGTGCGTGATCGTACAGCGAGATATCCTCTCTGGCAGTGAGCTGGAGGAACAGGTGCAGATCATCGAGCCATGTCTCAAACTTAATCGGGCGGCCCTCAGCATCGAACGAGAGAACTGGAGGGCTAGCCATAGCTGAAGTAGCAGTAGCAGAAGTAGCAGTAGCAGTAGCAGTAGCAGCAGCAGCAGCGGTAGTAGTAGCAGTAGCAGTAGCAGTAGTGGTGCTGCTGCTCAGGTAAGGAGGGCGCGGCTCGGCTAGGACGGCGCGGCTCGGCTAGGGCGGCGCGGCTCGGCTAGGGCGGCGCGGCTCGGCTGGGGCGGCGCGGCTCGGCTGGGTCGCGCGGTTCGGCTCGGGTCGCGCGGTGCAGCTGGGGTCGCGCTGTGCGGCTCGGCCGTAGAGGGGCGAGCGCGGGAGGGGCCGTTCGGGGGCCGGTCGGGGCTAGCGCGGGGCCATTTGGGGGCCGTAGGAGGCTAGCGCGGGGCCTTAAGGGGCCGTGGGAGGCTAGCGCGGGGCCTGAAGGGGCCGTGGGAGGCTAGCGCGGGGCCTTACGGGGTCGTGGGAGGTTAGCGCGGGGGCCGCACGGGGCCGTTCGAGGCTAGCGCGGGGCCAATCGGGGCCGTAGGAGGCTAGCGCGGGGCCGTAGGTGGGCCGTGGGAGGCTAGCGCGGGGCTACACGGGGCCGTTAGGGGCTAGCGCGGGGCCATAGGGGGCCGTGAGAGGCTAGCGCGGGGCCGACGCGGGGCCTTAAGGGGCTAGCGCGGGGTCTTAAGACGGGGCCGTGAGAGGCCGTAAGGGGCGACGCGAGGGGCCGTGAGGGGCCTGAAGGGGCGACGCTAGGAACGAGGCGCACGAGGGTGCTAGGAAAAGGCGGCGCACGAGGGCGCGGCTAGCGGAAACGGTGGGCCCTAACGTTCCGGTCCTAGGTGGAACCTAGGCTCGTAATACCATGTCAGAATGAGAAACAGGAATGTATGTGACTAGCAGGAACAACAGTACAAATATGAAACCCTAAACTGGTGTACCCCCTATGGTGTGACCCACTACAGCCTAGAACCACACAAACATATAATGTTTGACACGCGAAGGGGCTGCTAAGGGAGGCGAAGGGGCCGATAAGGGGCCGCGAGGGGCCACAACGGGGCTGCGAGGGGCCGCAAGGGGCCGCGAGGGGCCGCGAGGGTGCCGCGAGGGAGCGGCGAAGGGGCCACGAGGGGCCGTGAGAGGGGCCGGTACGGGGCCGTAAGAGGGCGCGACGGGCCGCTAAGGGCAGGAGACGCGACGGGAGGGCAGGCACACGGGGCGCGACTCGGGCAGGGGCGAAGCACGCTCCGCGCAGGAAAAAAAAAAAGATTTTCGGTGGGCCCTAGGAAACGTTCCCACTAGGGAACCTGCTCTATACCATGTGAAAGAAAGAGGAATGAATGCACTAGGAAACAGGTGGGTACAAGTAGGAAAAACCTAAAAGTGTTGTACCCCATATTATCTACCCCACTACAGCCTACACAGACTATGGCATATAAGTTTCACAAAAAAGACATCCAAACGTTGGCGTAGTGACATGTTGCGCACAGGTCTATCCTCGCACAGATTCGGGCCAGCAAACGCACAAACATACGCCATGAGCTGCGTAGTTGTGCTAACGAGATGAAATCACTTCATATTGCTAGGTAATAGGATGTAGTAGAGAACTGTGTGAAGAAATAGTGGTAAAAAAAGCATCCAGACGTTGGCGTAGTGACATGTTGCGCACAGGCCTATCCTCGCACAGATTCAGGCCAACAAACGCACAAACATGCGCCACGAGCTGCGTGGTTGTGCTAACGAGATGAAATGAGTTCCTATGGCTAGGTAATAGGATGTATTAAAGAACTGTGTGAAGAAATAGTGGTAAGTAAGGCATCTAAATGTCAGAATTTATATATGTAACTGCCTGTAGCTGTAGTTTAGTGTAGTTATTATAAACTGTTGGTGGTGCACCTTCTTTGCATGCTCTGTTTACTATATGTACCCTAGCACTATAGTGAACATTCACCTTTCCCAACTTTCTCGACACTCTCCCTTGGCACAAACCACTCGATATCCTAGGCCTAGGCTACTAAGCCTAGGCCTACTTAACTCTCAATTACTCTTAGAGCTCGTTATTTAACATGGCATTAGAGCGTGTTTCGTCCTGGCCTGTGGGCCCGCCTTATGCTTCCGCTGCTGTTTTTCCGGTCGCGCGCCTAGGGCGCGTGGCGATTTTCGTCTTGTCCCGCCCCCGGGTGGCGAGTGACACCTTCTCTGCCCGTCGCGCGCCCCGTGGCACGCGACGGTGCCCTAAACTTGCCCGTCGTGCGCCCCGTGGCACGCGACGGTGCCCTGCTCGTCGTGCGCTCCGAGGCACACGACGGTGCCCTAAACTTGAACTTGCCCGTCGTGCGCCCCGTGGCAAACGACGGTGCCCTGCTCGTCGTGCGCCCCGTGGCATGCGCGACGGTGCCCTTGAGCCGCCGCGGAACCGCCCCTGGCGCCTGCGACGGTGTCTTGAACCGCCAAGTACCTGCCCCTGGCGCACTCGGCGGTGCCTCTGATTCACCCCGCGCCTGCACTCCCTGCAGCCGCCCCTGATCTACCTGCGCCGACACTATGTAGCCGCTCTGCGGCTTTCTTCCCGCCCATCCCCTCCTCCTTCGTCTCCCTGCAGCCGTGGGGGGGAGGGTATGGGGGTGGCGGGTGTTGGAGTGTTGGGTAGTGTGCTTCCCTTCCCCTCCTCCTCCTTTCGTTCCCACTGCTGCAGCTGCCGCTGGGGGGGAGGGTGTGAGGGTGTGGGGGAGCTGGGGGAGTGGCACTGGGGTGGCGGGTGTGAGACCATCCAGCAGCCGTCCCTCCACCTCTCCTCTCTTCCCCCCTCTGCTGCTCCTGCAGCAGTGTGGGGGGGAGGGGGAGGGGGAGGGGGAGGGTGAGGAGATGGAGGGGGTGACCAGCCAGAGCCAGCCCGCCTCCTCACTCTCCCTGCTGCCCCTCCTGTGGTTGGGGGGGAGAGGGTAAGGGGGTGGCAGGAATTGCTTGCTGTACCTTTGCTGCTGTACCAACTCTGTTACCGTACCTGCTGTTGCTGTTGCTTGTGTACCCCTGCAGGTTGTGTTCTGCACAAACTCCTACTGCAGGCAGTTATGGGGGAGTGTCAGAATTTATATATGTAACTGCCTGTAGCTGTAGTTTAGTGTAGTTATTATAAACTGTTGGTGGTGCACCTTCTTTGCATGCTCTGTTTACTATATGTACCATAGCACTATAGTGAACATTCACCTTTCCCAACTTTCTCGACACTCTCCCTTGGCACAAACCACTCGATACCCCCTAGGCCTAGGCTAAGCCTAGGCCTACTTAACTCTCAATTACTCTTAGAGCTCGTTCTTTGACACTAAATGTTGGCGCAGTGACATGTTGCGCACAGGCCTCTCCTCGCACAGATTCAGGTCAGCAAACGCACAAACATGCACCACGAGCTGCGTAGTTGTGCTAACGAGATGAAATCAGTTCCTATGGCTAGGTAATAGAATTTAGTAGAGAACTGTGTGAAGAAATAGTGGTAAAAAAAGCATCCAGACGTTGGCGCAGTGACATGTTGCGCCCAGGCCTATCCTCACACAGATTCAGGCCAGCAAACCCACAAATATGCGCCACGAGCTGCGTAATTGTGCTAACGAGATGAAATCAGTTCCTATGGCTAGGTAATAGGATGTAGTAGAGAACTGTGTGAAGAAATAGTGGTAAAAAGGGCATCCAAATGTTGGCGTAGTGACATGTTGGGCACAGGTCTATCCTCGCACAGATTCGGGCCAGCACACGCACAAACATACGCCACGAGCTGCGTAGATGTGCTAACGAGATGAAATCACTTCATATAGCTGGGTAATAGGATGTAGCAGAGAACTGTGTGAAGAAATAGTGTTAAAAAAAGCATCCAGATGTTGGCGCATGTAAGATGATTATATTACAGATGCATATATTTAGGCTGTAGTGGGGTAGCCCATAGGGGGTACAACCCAATTAGGGTTGGTACTTGTACTTGTTTCATTTCATAGTGCACTCATTTCTTGCCTCTATCTCAACATGGTATCGAGCAGGTTCCCTAGTGGGAACTGTTCCTAGGGCCCACCTACTATTCCGTCCTGCCCGGAGCGCGCTCTGCCCTAGCCCGAGTCGCGCTGGGCCTTTTTTTTCCTTTGGCGGCCCGATCGCGTCGAGCTGCCCGCGAATTTTTGACGCGCCACCTACGCGGCCTCGTCGCGCCGCCCCTAGACTGCCGCGCCGCGTCGCGCGTGCCGCCCTCCAGTCGCGCGTCTCTGACGGCCCCGCGATCGCCTGCGACGGCCCCCCCGTCCCCTCTACCGGCCCCTCCGCTGCGCTTGACGGCCCCGCCGTCCCCTCTGCCGGCCCCGCAGCTGCGCTTGACGGCCCCGCCGTCCCCTCTGCCGGCCCCGCCGCTGCACCCGACGGCCCCGCTGTCCCCTCTGCCGGCCCCGCCGCTGCTTCAGACGGCCCCGCCGCTGCACCTGACGGCCCCGCCGTCCCCTCTGACGGCCCCGCCGCTGCACCTAACGGCCCCGCCGTCCCCTCTGACGGCCCCGCCACTGCACCTACCGGCCCCGCCGCTACCCCTGACGGCCCCGCTGCTGCATCTGCAGGCCCCGCCGTCTCACCTGCCGGCCCCGCTGCTGTACCCGACGGCCCCGCCGCTTCACCTGCCGGCCTCGCCACTACCCCTAACGGCCCCGCAGCTGCATCTCCCGGCCCCGCCGCCCCAGCAACTGCGCCGCCCCAGCAGCCGAGCCGCCCCAGCAGCCGAGCCGCCCAGCAGCCGAGCCGCCCCACCAGCAGCCGAGCCGCCCCAGCAGCCGAGCCGCCCCAGCAGCCGAGCCGCCCCAGCAGCTGAGCCGCCCGAGCCGCCCGAGCCGCCGAGCCGCCCGAGCCGCCCAGCAGCCGACCCGCCGAGCCGCCCGAGCCGCCCGAGCCACCTGCACTGCCCTGTCTGGTGAGCACTGAGCTTTACTCTGCGCACTGCCCTCACCCTACTGCTGTCATGGCTACCCCCAGTGTCCTCACCTTCGACGCTGAGGGCAGAGCCATAGACTTTGACGTGTGGGTAG